CCTACCTGTTATCTGGCTCGGATATATCTCTTTTAAAAGTATAAAATTAATACTGCATTATGTGAGGTGAATATACACATCAGGTGCTTCTGTGTTCACTTTATGCGTGCAGTTTCTTGTCATTAAGCCAATACTGAACTTATAAGCATGCTCTTAGCTTACTTGTGCACTTGGCATGATGTCGTTGTAGGAAATTCGTTTTACGTAGCTAATTGACAGTTGCTACCTTGCACGAAATATTGCTACTGGTGTGTGTTATAGAAAACATTAATCACAAACACGAACGATTTATTGTGTTAAAAATGATTGAATTCGAACCATATAAATTACACAGTGAACCTATATTGCCATTTTTCCACATTAGTAATTTCATATGTTTCAAATAGCAAATGTATTAAAACATGTCTAGGAAACAGTATATACATCCAAGAGCATAGCAATTCGGAAGGTAAATTTTTACATTCAAGAATAAAACGAGGCGCTAATTTAGTCGAAGAATTGTCAACTTTGTATACAGTGTGCAATTTTGTAGAGTACAGTATTGTAAGTTAATTTTAAATAACAAAAACTACATAATTGCTTTCTTCTATTATATGCAGATGACGCAATTTTTTGTTTGAGAGGAAATAAATAATATTGAGTCTTCTGGCGATATATTCATTAAAAATTGCATGAATCATAGCTCCCCATGTTATAACGGGAATTCGCCAAGTTTTAAAATGTAGAATGTTATAAAATATTTTGTTTCTTTTTGCCCACCTTTTGTTCCAAAGATGCTTAAAATTTTACATTAAAAAACCGAAATTTCCCTTACTTCTCAGCTGACTCGGATATCTCTTGAAAGTGTAAAATTATTGCTTTTTTACGTTAAGCAATATTATGTGTGGCAGATATATACACAAGACTTATTTATTTATTGCACTCTACGCGTTAGGAACTTGTCGTTATAGGCCTGTATTTTACTTAATTAAACATGCTCGTAGCTTACTTATGCACTTGGCATGATGTCGCGTAGTAGGAAATATCGTATGGCGTGCGCTATGTGTGCTACAAAGATCATTCATGACAACACGTAAAAAATCTGCCCATGCGAATTGTTTTAGAAGATAAAATGTGATTTTTCGTCATGACATTGGCATGATGTCGTAGCGGTAAATATGCACGGGCGTTAACATGCACCAAATATTGCTACATGTGCACGTGTGCTACAGAAGTGATTCATCGCAAACACGACCGATCTGTCCATTCGAATTTTTAAAAAATATATAAAATGTGATTTTTAGTGAGGAGAATTTTTTGGCTTTACTGAATTTTAATAAACTTGTTAAAATTTTCAACTGTTTTTTAACCCGAAAACCTAATAACCTTGGATTAAAAATGCAGAAATTCTCCTACCTTTTCTTCTATATTTTCTTTGAAAGTAGAATATTATATACGGTAGATATCTACACATGATCTAGCTACTTTTGTATTACGTTCATGCAATTTATGCGTGCAATTACTTGTGATTAAGCCAATATACTACTTTATATAAACCTGCACTTAAAGCCTAATGCATACTGCAGCACTTTGCACGATGTCGTATTTAGCACTGTGGAGAAAGTAGTAGTAATGATATCACCACATGAAATATTCGCGCTAATTCTGCTAATTGGGGGTAAATACTTCTACTAGACACATGCAGGCAAAATTCCCTAGCTTGAAGCAATTAACACATATTTCAAAATGTAAAATTTTTGTGAATTTTTTTGTGAAATACTCATTTCTGCTGAATGATCAACGTCGTATAAGTAAAATCCTATATCAAGTACAACTCTCGAGCTATGAAATTCAACTATAATTAAAATTGTGCAGCGAATAGACTTAAACACTACAATTTTAGCAAAAATAAATCCACATATCATTGCAATACGTGCATATTTTAAAATACAAAATCTACCCGTGTACCTGTTCAAAAACAATCTAAAAAGCTTAAAAATTGTAGATTTTTACCGGCATTAGTTTGAATAAAAGTTTTTCTATCCGAAGGCATCTTTAACATCTTAATCTATTTCACAAGTCAATTTTTCCTATATTTTCAAAATCATCCAAATGAAAAATATTAATTCGAAAAAGTTAAAAACTTCAAAATATTAGTTATGTACAAAATACGTATTATCAGAATTGTAATTTGAGATTATTTCCGTGTCCTCAAATTTCTCTAAAATGTAAACGGCGAAAATAAAAACATATATTTTCCCTACCTCTTATTATGCTCGGATATATCTCTTTTAAAAGTATAAATTAATACAGCATTATGTGAGGTGGATATACACATCAGGTGCTTCTGTGTTCACTTTATGCATGCAGTTTTTTGTCGTTAAGCCAATACTGTACTCTTAAGCATGCTCTTAGCTTACTTGTGCATCTGGCATGATGTCGTTGTAAGAAATTCGTTTTACATAATTGACAATTCTTACCTTGCACGAAATAATGCCACTGGTGTGTGGTAGAGAAATCATTAATTACAAACACGAACGATTTATCGTGTTTAGAAATGATTGCACCACATAAATGACACAGAAAACCATATTTCGCCATTTTTCCACATTAATAATTTCATATGTTTCAAATAGCAAATGTATTCAAACATGTCTAAATGTTTGAATGCATTTGCTATTTGAAACATATGAAATATGGTCGGGCGATGCACCATATGTGTGGAACGTAAATTTTTGCATTCAAGAATAAAATTAGGCGCTAATTAAGTCGACAAATTGTCAACTTTGTATACAGTGTGCAATATTGTAGAGTAACAAAAACTACATAATTGCTTTTTTCTATTATATGCAGAGAACGCAATTTTTTGCTTGAGAGGAAATAAATAATATTCAGTCTTCTGGCAATATATTCATTAAAAATTACATGAGTCATGACTCAGCTATTCTCAGTGATTGTTATAAGGAGAATTCACCAATCTTTAAAACGTAGAATGTTATAAATTATTTTGTGTCTTGTTGCCCACCTTTTGTTCCAAAGATCCTTAAAATCTTACATTAAAAAAGCGAAATTTCCCCAACCTTTCTGCTGGCTCGGATATCTTTTGAAAGTGTAAAATTATTGCTTTTTTACGTTAAGCAATATTATGTGTGGCAGATATATACACCAGACTTATTTATTTAATGCACTCTACGCGTCAGGAACTTGTCGTTATAGGCCTGTACTTTACTTAAACATGCTGTTAGCTTACTTATGCACTTGGCATGATGTCGCGTAATAGGAAATATGGTCGGGCGAAGCGCCATGTGTGCTACAGAAATCATTCATTACAAACACGTAAAAAATCTGTCCATACGAATTGTTTTACAAAATAAAATATGATTTTACGTGATGAATGTTTTTTCGGCTTGACAGATTTTTTTATTCTTGTTTAAATTTCCCACTGTTTTGTAACCTAATAATCTAATAAACTTGCAGAAATTTTCCTGACTTTTCTTGGACATCCCTTGAAAGTCATCCCTTAACATTATGTGCGATAGATATATATATACACAAGATCTAGCTATTTATGTGTTCGTGCAAAATAATCATGCGTGCAATTAGTTGTGATTAAGTCAATAGACTACTTTACTTAATCCAGCTCTTAATTCTTAATACCTTCTACGTAGGAAGTATTGCAGTGATGATCCACCTGATTAAATATTCGCAATTAATTCTGCTATTGTCAATAGGCCGGCATAGAATTGCCTGTAGTAGCCTTGCACCATTGACGACATGATCCCCGAGCGAGCGCGGAGCCCCTGCGTCGGTACTAATTCCGCTCGGAGATTAGGAATTAAACCCGGAACCCGGGAGAACATAGCTGAATCCAAAGTTGTGCAAATTCTATGTCATGGACGGTCGATGTTGGGTTGTTTTGTAAGTTATGCGCATGCGCGAGTAACGACTGTTAATCAACAAACGTTCCGATTAGCGAAGAAAGAAAGTTTGTATTTCAAGAGAACGTCAGTAATTTAACTGTCATTTCGTAAACCTTTTTGTAAAAGCGTTTCATAAACCTTGTGCAAAATAAAACGAGAAGAAACAAGATACATGAAGCATGACAGATAGCAAAAATGAACATGGATACAGTCAAGGCAAAGCCGTGTAAGAGAAATAAACCATAATCTGCAAGCTTATAAGTGTTTTCCAAAGGTACGTGTTTACTTTGTTTATTTCGTATTTGTTTCACGATATAAAGGATGAGCTGTATTTGTATAATTTTCAGCTTTGTATGCCGTTTATTTGTTTAAATTTCAGCTTTGTATATTTTTTAGCTTTTTCGCGAACGGAAAACCTATGAAAGGCTATTACCCCTTTGCTCGAAGGTCAAAAAGTGTTTTTGAAAGTGTAATTTGAATTTTTATATCAAAAATATAAAATTTTTTATAGCCGTCGACTGCATACAGAATATTAAAAATAATATTTGAGGTTTATTCTTTGTATCTGAAGATTTGCACTATTTTAATCGTTTGGAACTTCGATTTTAAACCATTACTTATAATTGCTGCTATGGTATAATGCAGCAAAAATGCAAAATTGAACGGGCAATGTTTACACTAGCTTTATGATTGTTTTTGAATGATGGAAACATTAGCTATAATATACTCGGTAAAATGTAATTATTTGAGTTTTGCGTCATTTCATAATATAAGTTTAGGTCAGGTTAGCTCAGAAAATTGTGTTCTTGGTTTGAAAGGGAGAGGGGTTGCTGCATGCATGTATTTTCTATTCTTAAATTGGATTCCGTAATTGAACTATAACTAACCCATTCAAACGTGCATCTCAAAAATAGTGGCCCACTCCTATATCTGTTGCCCGCTTTTTACTTTATGACCGATCCCTTACATGGCTCCTTTCTCTCTTTTCAGTATTACATAGTGTTAGGGATGCAAATTAGCTGAACTGCTGTAAAGTGTTCAAACTACACGGTCGTTTGCACAATCGTCTTATCCTGAAGACAATCTTCATTTCTTTGCTAGTATGCTGCTGGTTGAACGTTTAATGATATCCAGTGATCAGTTTGAAGTCGACGTATGTGTCAAATGTGGTTTAATAGGATATTCCGGCTGGTGCCATTTCTGTCAGTCCTCGCATGATATTTCCTCAATCAAGATTCCCTACGCGACAAAACTATTATTCCAAGAACTGATAAGTATGAATATTATTCCGCGATTAACGTTGAGACCAAGTGTTGAATGAATAATTGTGTGCCAAAATTGTCTGACGGTCGTTTGTGGTTAAGAGTGAGTGTTGGGAATCAGAACTGAATTGACATACTGATACTCTGACTACTGGTCCATCCAGGCTAAACAAAATATTTCCTCATATATATGTGATTAAATCCTCCAGGCTTGCCCACGTGATAAACCACGCTGGAAATAACTCAATCTCTTCCAAACTAAATTTCTTTCAATATTTATTGTTCAGAGATTTCGTTGTTCAAATTTATTAAAATAATTACCTTCTGCATATAAAAAGTTTAACTTTTTCACTCATCAGTGATGCCAAATGCTGCCATAATTTTATTAAATATTGACACAAAAAGAAGTTTTGTTTTCTTTTCGATTCTAACTTTGCATGCAGTCGCTCGCTGTTAAAATCTTTCAGGCGTTTACTAATCCAATTCGTTGTTGGTTCTCATTGCTTTAAACGTTGTTTTTTTCCATTTTTGATATGAAAATCGCACGCGAATCTGATGGGGAAAACTAGAGCAGGAAAAATCGCGGGCTCAGGGGACAAGATTTTATTGATTTACGTTAGCCAATCACGATCGTGGTCTGGAAACCTCGTTTTATGTCACTGTAGAAAAATAAAAGTTTTTTTACCGGCATCTGTTGAAGAAAATATTTATATTTCTAGATTATTGCTTGTGAGAGTAAATCCATCTCATTTAAATCTGCGTCACGTTTAGCCGTGGCATTTTGATCTCTGTGTGATCTTCAGAAATCAAGAATCAGGATGTATTGCTCGTGAAAATGCAACATGGCGATTCGTTTGTCAGATTAGCCTGCGCATCAGCCTTTCTTTGGGGTTGCAACCCGCAGGCTAGCAAGCGCGCGGCTCCACAAGAAATGATAATAATATCCACGGCAAAATTATGAGCTGACGTCATTCTAACGCAGTTAACAATGTTGTGACGTAATTATCGAAAGGGTCTATTTACATAAAAAGTAAATCCAGCAAAAGAATTCGTCTGATCGAAAAATTCCGCCTGTGGGTAAAACCGCTTTGCATGATTGGCTAAATGAGGTTTTCAATGTGTCTTTGCTGAAGTGTTAGCCTTGACATGCAATAGCCTCAAACATTAAATTGTGGTGGCTGAGATTTTGCTTTGACAAGTCTATGTCTTGGTATTACCTAAGCAAATCGCGATACATCACAAACAATCTTAATATGCAGTACACAAAACAAAGTCACAGCGTGAATGTGCTCCCTTATATTTTTGTAGTTCGCAAACAAGTATTCAGGAAAGTAGCTAGAAGCTTAATTTAGAGGGGTGTATATTTATCATTTAATAATATATATAGCTACCGTGTATTCTAGTCTTCCGAAGACAATTAATAGAGTGTAGTGTAAACTGCGCTAGAGGAAAAAATTACCAAATATGACCTCGATTAACAATCATGAGGAAAATCGCGTATTTCCGCCTCGGCTCTGTAGATTCTGTAAAAACCAATTGAAATTCAACACTCTTTTCACGGCTCTTCCATACTTAATTGTTCTAAGCAAAAGGCGGCCTCGACATGGAAATATGCGATTTTCACCAAGATATTTCAACGAGCCCGTAACAGATCACATACTAAAAACATATTCAACAGCGAAATCCCTGATCTATCTTGCTATCACAAAATTTTGTGATAATTATCACAAATGTGAACTATCAAAAATGTTCTTGGCAGTGATGGTATTTACGTGTAGATCCAGTGGGGAAAAGTGTTGTTATTAAATTAACCAGCACAGCAGCAGGAGGGTTGTGTGTCCAAGAGCCCTTTATGGTTAGTTCAAAGTGTTATTGCTAAAGTCTAGTGCCTACCCAGCATACAATGTGTCCTGAAAATGTCGAGGTCCAATACAGATTTATATATAACTAATCTCAAGGTGCTCCACTTTTTTTTCTTCATAATTTGACAAAAATGCACAGGTTGTTCATAGATATTACACACTAATGAAGCTGCAATCTATTGCAGGATTATGCTATATGATATTATCATACATTATTTAAGAATTAAAAAACGAGTCGCGTGCCTTTATGGTGTAATAATGCACGATGAGCGAATGTTGGGAGAATACGAGAGAAGCTTGTAAAACACGAGGCGTAGCCGAGTGTTTTACAAGCTTCTCGAGTATTCTCCCAACATTTCCCCGAGTGCATTATTACACCATAAAGGCACGCGACGAGCTTTTTTAATTCTTTTATAATATAAGAAGAAATTATAGGGCAACAACAAAATTTATTTATTTGATTAATAATGAAATTCTCCTTACATGTTATTTAAGATGTTGCTTAGCAACAAAAACTTCAAAAGCCAGAAGCGTGCATTATGGCCTCACAATGCACGCGCGGTAGCCAATCAAATTGCTCGTTATATCATACTTATATTATAAAATAAATTAAATAACTTGTGGGATGTGATACCATACCGCAAGTCATTATTTAATATCTAGTGTCAAATCATTGATCAATTTGGCACTCTAGTTAACAGTTTCATATTTCACTTCTTAAACCAGTCTGACGATTTAGTCCTGCGATGCCTAATTTTCATTTATTATCGTTATTTTAATAGACCACTGTTTTCACAGTTGCTCAACATCAAAATTTTTGCATTGCATCACAGAAAGACTAATTTGCCACCCTGGCCAAGCCGAGTAAATTATCGTGATCTCAGTAGCACTCCACACCGATATCACGATCATGTTGGCAGGTTAAAGTAGGCATATTCCATCCACCATGGCCGCAATCCCAGATGTATAATTCATTATTACTGCAGGAGACTTCAGAAAGCAATACAGGACCACTTCCTTGGCCAAAGTACCTCATATTTCGTAGTCCAGCGAAACCCAATTGACGACAGGTGACATCACCAACATAAAACGATACTATTTCTCTAGATTGTACTTCACAGATTGTGCCCCAGCCAAATGTTGGATGATATATTTCCACTCTTCCGCTCATGTTAGTACTTGAACCATTTAATCGGATTTGCAGTTCAGAGTTGGCTATAATATAGACAGTTATACACATGTATATGAAGCTGTAGTACCTGCACCGCGCAATTGTTATTCAGTGTTAATGTTTTCTTCTTTGTCAGCTGATCAGATGACCTTTAAAAATGGTTGGCTCACTTTAACTTGCATTTTCTGTGCAAATACTTGGCCGATTTTAATAAAAATTAAACCATTTAAAAGAGGACATTGTCCTTAGTAGATAGATGTTTTTTTAGTTCTATATGTTTCAAATTCGCTATGATATTTACTTTAGAATGCATGCGATTTAGCTATTATTCGATATTATACCTCAAAGCGGCCTAATCCTTAGAATATTGCCCAAAACGCAAACAAAAACTGGTTACCGTGATTTAGTTCACATCTCTAGGATCATTTTGATATATTTAGCTTCAAAATCGTGCCTTTAGACGATTTTTGCCGATTTTTTACATAAACATTCATAATCTGCATCATGGTATGTATTATCGCATCGCTCACGGCAAGCATTTCACAATAATAAAAAGATTCACCGAAAATTTCGGGCAAAAAAAGCCGAAAAACTGACCTCTTGGTCCAATTTTACGCCAGGAATCTATTTTTGGGGTCAAAATTAGCCTAGGGGGTGGGTATCACAGACTTTTGTCAAATTTTTGAACCGCGTGACAACATTCCGAGCAAGCGCTAAACACGCGCTTAGCAACGCTCATCAAGGCTCATCGCTTAGATCTTAAAATGGCTTATTTCTCCGATTCTCTTGCACATCCTAATCCAAAAGTACATCGAAGTTATAACAGAATGATAATAGGCAAAATTAAGACAGTTTGAGAACAAAATAAATTGACAAACATGAAATTTCGAAAAGTATATGGTTGCCATGGGCAAGTAGTTTGAGATAACAACGCAAGCTAGTATTTTGGCTTATATTTCAAGTGCGGCTTATAACTATCTGCTGATTTGAATATAGCATTTATATGACCTCTTCAAGCGCTATCGTTTGGTGGTATTTCGGTGTCTTTAGCCTAAATACTTGCGGAGATATTCAATTTAAGACACGGTTCCTTCTATGACACCCGACATTAGGACCAGCCCATAATGAGAAGCAACTTTTTTATGGTTTCAAGTCAAATCACATAATATATTATAATAATAGATGGAAAACTTGGTGTTGAAATATTTGTAGGATCCCTGCACCTATAGCACGATTCTATACAACATCAGTTGAGCATATATAGGCATCGTCATATAGTCGGGTGTTTCATGAACACAGACAAAGATTTAAGTCTTAGAAAGAAGAAAAACATTTTATAGGATAAACACCAAAATCGTTCTTTGACACCCCCCCCCCCACTATGTCCTTAATATAATTTTTCGTGAAAGATTTAGTCATTCCTTGAAATTCCAAAATATATTATTTGAAAACGCGATATGATATACCTTCGGAAATTTATGTATCTTGTTAGAGGGTATGCGAGATAGAGGCCGTAAAAATTTCTTCAAATTTTTTTATGCGAAAAGTGCCGGAAAAAGATAAGATTTTTGGTTTCAAATTACCATAGATACTCGCTACGGCAGGTTGTAACAGGTTTGAGGGAAATTAATGAACTAAAATGCGAGCACATACCTGAGCATGTAACTCCATCGAAAATGGTCCCAGTCTTGCAAGTACAAACGAAAGAACCTGGTGTGTTTTTGCACGAGCGTTCAAAACCTTTTCGATTGCATGGTGATGACAGACATTCATCGATATCTAAACGGAATAGTAACGATATCTGAATTAAAGCGTATAGTAACATTAATTATAATATATAATATATATATATATATATATATAATATATATATATATATTGAACATGATTTGCTCCAAAGTAAATTTGGAGTTGCAACACAGGTAATAATATAGGCAAAATGTTCTCCGTGTTTACTATACTCACCCTTGACGGGCATATTCAAACCTAAGAATGTAAATTTGTCCCTTTCCCTCACCAGCTCACTCGTTAAGAGTGCCTAAGCCTTGGGACCCTTGGAGGCGGTTTTTCTACTGACAGTAGTTCTGGCGAGTAG